AGGGCCATGGGAGATGGCTATTTTTTTCTGTTGTAAATCTTTTTATTACTATGGGTTATTAATAATTGTCTGCAAACAGTACTTTGAGAAAAATTAAAACAAACTAAAAATAACGGTATTGTATAAAAAAAGAGAGCCCGGAGGAGGAAGCGTGAGAGAATGGGAAGTTTCCAGAGAAGGTGGCCCCGAGCAGGTGATGCCTGACCCTGTTGAAGGGCAAAGGTGGGTACAGTCTGTGCCATGGGCTGGGGGCATGCGCGAGAATGAAGGTCTTGGTGCTTCAGACAGAAAGGGAGTGAGCGGCGAGTGGAAGAGCCCGGGTTACTTCAGGGCACTCAGGCACTCGCTGTAGGGGCCTCAGGTGGGTTCCAGGAGAAAGCAGCTGGAGAGACCTGTTTTCAGGGACTCACTGTCCTGGCTGAATAGGTGATAAGGGTGGAAACAGGGGGACCATTGAGAGGTGAGTGAGGCTTGGCCTGGAGGGAGACTCGCAGATGGAGAACAGTAGACAGGTTAGAAGGAAGAATTCAAGGTCACTGTAATAAGGCTGTGGGGCCGACAAACTGGCAGGCATGCCCTTCCTCTGACCTTCACAAGAATAGCCCCCCACCCCCCCACACACACCCAGGGGCAGCTAGGTTAGGGCGCAGACCCGGGGCAGAACATCTTCAACTGGCGGGCAAATATGCATTTGTCCAGCCTGCCAGCTCAGGCTGGACTTTCCAGATGACCACTGGCCATAAAATACTCAGCATTCCTATTAGCAAAATGTTGCTGCCCCTTCCCCCCAAGAAGAATTTCACTCTTCTTCATAGCAGGTTGGTATTTCAGAAAAATTGCCCTTGATTATCATCAAATGGAATCAGTTGACAAAGGATGGAAGTTTGCTGTCTGGCGCTCGGCTCGTGGTCGGCTCGTGGTCCTCCAAGCCTGCGGTGTTTGCGCCCACCCGAGCTTCTCACGCTGGAGCGGTGCCCACGGACTGGCCCTGGGGCAGGCATCCAGCCGCTGGCCCGTGAGGTCAGCCTGCAGCCCAGGGCTGGCCGGGCTCCAGCACTGCCGAACCCCACACCAGCCTGGCCCGGGCCCCGGGGGGACGAGGCCCGCGTGGGGAGCAGGACTCCTGGCCACCGGATGAGGCTCCAGCTCGCAGCCGCCACCCTCTGCTTCTCAGCCCTCTGCAGGAGCCAAGGCCAGCGTGGGTGGCTGAAATCTCCCCGGTAACAGGGTCTGTCCCCACTCCAGCCTCCTCCCCTAACCTGCCACCCCTCCCCCCACCCAGCACCTTGCACCTGCTCTCCCGCCCTGCCCCTCCCTGGCCCCTCCCGCACGCACCCCCAGTCCTGCTCCCTCCTTCCCTCCCCGCTCCCATGTGGCCATCTGTGGCACAATTCCTCTCTGTCAGTCTCCTGCCGCCCCCTCTTCTCCTTCCTCCTTCCTCGCTAGCTCCCTGCCTCCTGCGTCTGCCTCTCTGCCGCTCACTCCTTCTCCTGCTCTTTCTCCTCTCTTCTCCAGCGCAGTCTCTCATCACTCCCCCTCATTCTGGCTTTCCACCCACTCGCTGTCTCTCCCTCTCCCTGGCTCCCCGCCTCCCAGCGACCCCCCTCCCGCTCTTCCCACTGGCTCCTTGCAGCCCTCTGCTCTCTTTGCTTCGTTCGCCTCTGGAGGCTCCCCCTTCACCCCCCCAGACCCCTGTCCGGGCCCCTCCCCTCCCCCAGGACGTGTCCTGCAGATGGGGGGTGACGCACCAGGCGCGGGTGGGAAGTCAGGGCTGGAGAGCAGATGGGAGAGGTTCTGTGGGCAGCCGGTCGGCCGAGGGCCTAGGAGCGAGCCCGGGTCTGCAGGCCCTCGAGAAGTGGCCACTGTGTAGCACCCCGGCTGAGGGGTGCTGGGGGGCTCCTGGGGACTGGGCAGGGAGGGGGGCAGCAGAATGCTGAGCAGTCTGGTGGTGAGGAGGGGGACCTTCACCCCACGGCCAGGTAAGGAGGTCGGGTCTGGGGGGTCTGGAGGGTGGGGTGCTGGAGCCCACTCTCTGTCCCGATGAACCTGAGAGACTGGAGAGGGTGAGGGCCCAGGGAGGAGGGAGGCCTCCCTGGTGGGCAGCAGGAGGCGGAGGGGGGCATAATCTCGGCATCTCCTGCCACAGTTCTAGAATCCGGGGATCTCGGAACAGCCAGTGTCAGAGCAGGAAGAAACCAGATGCAGCCTGTGGCTTGGCCGTCCTGCTCACACGCCTGATTCCTGAGCCCCTGTGTGCTGGACACCGCGCTCCGAGCCCTCCTTACAGCAACCCTGGAAGGTGGGTATGCTGTCTCCATGTTAACAGGTGGGAACAGAGGTTCAGAGATGGAAAGTGACTTGCCAGAGGCCACACAGCAATTTGGTATTATCATTTGTGGCAACGTTAATCTCCCACCTAGGGCTTGTGAGGTGCGTTTTGGGAGTCAGATCCCGGGCCTGCGGTGGGAGTGAGTCTAAGATCACCGATTAGCACCACGTGGGCCTCTTGGGGAGTACCCCAGGGGAGCAGAAGGCAGGCAGAATGCAGACTGCTCTCCAGAGACTGGCCCAGCCCTGCCCGAGTCCTTGGTTGCGCTCAGTCCCAGGCCTTCTGGGGGAGCCATCAGGCCCAGGGGGTGCTGCCCGTTCAGGAGCAGAGAGAGCTGGCTTTGCATCACTCACCAGCTGGGTGGCCTTGTGTAAGTGACTGAACCTCTCCGAGCCAAAACTTGCTCCTCTTGGAAACCCCGGCCCCTGGGCTTTGCCAGGGTCTCGCCCTGTGAGTTGAGCCCTCAGCCTGGGAGCTAAGTCCGGCTCAGCAATCCTCATTGCAGGGCTGGCTCCAGCCGCTCTGCCAGAGTTTCTGGCGCTGTGCTAGGGACTGGCATTAAAGAAACAAATAACTCAGGGTCTCTGTACCAAAGAGGGGCAGGAAACAGGAGACAGGCGAATGGAGAGGCGTTGGGGTGTCTCTGGGAGCCACCTTGACTTGCTGTGGGCTCAGGACAGCCACTCACCCGCTCTGGGCTCCCCTCCCCTTCAGAGCAGTCCTCTGAGGAGTCCGCCCCCAGCTTTCAGGCAAGCTTGTGCCAAAGATAAACCAGACAGGGAAGAAAAGTCCCTCCTCCCCGAGGATGAACTAGATCACGCACAGGATTCCACCTTCTTGAAGAAAAGGCAGCACCTAAATTGCAGGTCGGGCTGACGCCCCCAAAAGCTGTAATTCCCCTGCTGAGATGCCCTGGCCCGGTCAACTCTGACAGGGAGGAGGGAGGCTGGGGCGGAGGCAGGGAGCCTCCCAGGGCCAGGGGCGAAGCCTGGGAGCTGGGGTTCCCTGCAGGGCCCTCCGAGTGTGTGGGAGTGGGAGTGTGTGGGGTGTGGGTGTGGGAGGAGGAGGAGGAGGATGGCTTCAGACCTCACCATCGCCATAGGCTTTTCTGGGGGCATCTGATCCTGCAGCCTGGAAATGAGGTTTGCTCCTCTCTGGGGAGCCCCTCCCTCCTTAGGCCGTGGGTTGGCTCGGCTGCCCAGCGGGGATTCTATAAAGAGAATCTGAGGCCCAAGGTGGCCACGTAGAGGGACAGAAGGCCAGGGCTCTGGGCAGAGGAGGGCAGGCCTCGGGGGTCTAGATTCCACAGTTGCAGTCTCCGAAGGGTTGATTCCGGCAGCCGGGAATCCTGACATTCTCTGATTCAAGAATACTGAGTCTGCAAAACCTAAGACTCTACAACTCAGTCTGAAGTGTCTCAAGTTCTATTTTTAGGCCTCCTAGTGTCTCGGGGTTTGGGTCCACGATGCTGATCGCTCGCTGATCGCTCAGGGGCTGGAGGAGCGGTGGGGTGAGCTCTCAACAGGCCGATGGGGGAGCTGAATGTTCAGGCAGAGCCTCCCTGGGTCTGGTCTCAGGCACCCTGCCTGTGAAAGGGGGGTGGGAGGGTCCCCAGCTCTGTCCCTTCTGGGGGCACAGTGAGCTGGGCGGGGCTGAGGGGACCCCCAGGTCTTAGGGGCTCAGGGGAGACAACACCATGAGCCTTCTTCACTGCACTGGGATTCTGGTGGGAGCTCTGGGCTCTGCCCAGGGGCCTCAGACAGGCTAAGTTTCACCTGCGTTTTGGGGACTCTCAGACGCTTTGAGTTTCACCAGGAGCGCAGGGTTTGGGAAGGCGCCTGTGAAATGCAGGCGTTTCCCAAGTGCAAGGAGGACTTGGGGGAGGGTCTCAGTCTATTCGGGCTGCCACTGTCAGGGGGTCACAGACTGGACGTGTGTACACAGAAGTTTATTTCTCATGCACAGTTCTGGAGCCTGGAAGTGCGAGATCAAGTGCCGGGAGAGCCGGTGTCTGGGGGCGGGGGGCGGGGGGCGGGGGCACTTCCTGCATCCACAACCATCATTGGTGTTGGCATCTGGCAGGAGATCTGGAGCTGCCTGTATAAGGCACCCGGCCCCCTGGAAGACACCGCCCTCCCGACATCACGACCTCCCAGAACATCGCACTGGAGGCTGGGGGTCCACCTGTGACTTGTGGGGCGCACATTCAGCTGATCCTCAGCCTGAAGGGTGGGCATTGTCCCAGGAAGCAATGTGACTTCTTGAGGTGCCTGCATCAGAGGTGCTGATGTCAACAGAGTTCGGACAGTGCTGCCATGGAAGACAGGCGCCATGTGGGCGGGCGACTGAGTCATCTGCTCGCTCCTTTGCAGACCTTTGTGGGGTGTCCCCTGTGCACAGGTGAAACCACATGTTGCTGCTCCCCCTGTGCACCCTGGAGAGCACAGGCTCCAGGGTGCTGGTCCCCGCCTTTGGAGCGAGGGAACCTGCCTTCCAGGCCACACTGTGGCCGAGACTTGGTTTCCTGTCTGAGAAGTGGGGCGCTCGCCGGCCTGTGCAGTGAAGGAGCCTCCGCCCGCACTGAGTGTGGGGGTGGGGGTGCCGGGCGGTGCCGAAGGAGTCCCCGCCTGCCGTGACGGGCCGTGTGCTTCTTCCCGCAGGCCCCTAGCTGAGTGCTGAGCGTGCTCCCTGCCATGGACATCCCGGGCTTCCCTTCACCGGCGCCCGCGACCTTGGAACCCGGCAACGCCTCCCTGGCCTGGCCGCCGGACGCCACCCCGGGGAACGGGTCGGCGGCCCCGAGCGCGGCAGGACTGGCTGTCCGCGGCGTTCTGATCCCGCTGGTTTACCTGGTGGTGTGCGTGGTGGGCCTTCTGGGCAACTCCCTGGTCATCTACGTGGTCCTGCGGCACACGGCCAGCCCCTCGGTCACCAACGTGTACATCCTCAACCTGGCGCTGGCCGACGAGCTCTTCATGCTGGGGCTGCCCTTCCTGGCGGCCCAGAACGCCCTGTCCTACTGGCCCTTCGGCTCCCTCATGTGCCGCCTGGTCATGGCCGTGGACGGCATCAACCAGTTCACCAGCATCTTCTGCCTCACCGTCATGAGTGTGGACCGCTACCTGGCCGTGGTGCACCCAGCCCGCTCCGCCCGCTGGCGCACGGCCCCCGTGGCCCGCACGGTCAGTGCGGCCGTCTGGGTGGCCTCGGCGGTGGTGGTGCTGCCCGTGGTGGTCTTCTCGGGGGTGCCCCGGGGCATGAGCACCTGCCACATGCAGTGGCCGGAGCCGGCGGCAGCCTGGAGAACCGGCTTCATCATCTACACGGCCGTGCTGGGCTTCTTTGGGCCGCTGCTGGTCATCTGCCTGTGCTACCTGCTAATCGTGGTCAAGGTGCGCTCGGCCGGGCGGCGGGTGCGCGCGCCGGCCAGCCAGCGGCGGCGGCGCTCGGAGCGCAGGGTCACGCGCATGGTGGTGGCCGTGGTGGTGCTCTTCGTCCTCTGCTGGCTGCCCTTCTACGTGCTCAACATCGTCAACGTGGTGTGCCCGCTGCCCGAGGAGCCCGCCTTCTTCGGCCTCTACTTCCTGGTGGTGGCGCTGCCCTATGCCAACAGCTGTGCCAACCCCATTCTCTACGGCTTCCTGTCCTACCGCTTCAAGCAGGGCTTCCGCCGGGTCCTGCTCAGGCCTTCCCGCCGCGTGCGCAGCCAGGAGCCGGCCGCGGGGCCCCTGGAGAAGACGGAGGAGGAGGATGAGGACGAGGAGGACTGCGAGGACCCAGGGGCGGGGGTGGGGAAGCAGGGGCGGGGGAGGGAGACGAACGGCCGGGTCAACCGGATCGCACAGCCGGGCCCCAGCCGGCAGGAGCCGCCCAAGAGCAGCATTGCGGGCAAGGAGCGGCAGTTTCTACCCCAAGAGCCCGCAGCGGCCGAGAAGGCCGGTGCGCCGCACATCAGCTATCTGTAGGGGCCAGGCGAGGGCCAGGCTGGCCCAGGGCTCCACAGAGGCTGGGGTGCACTTCAACCAGGGCCCGCGGCTCCAGCGGCCCACTGATGGGATGTTTGGGGGCCGGGGCTCTGGCCCCATTGCTGCCGAGACTGGCCCGTTGGCTTGGACAGGTCACTTCCCCGCCCTGGACCTCGTGTTTTCCTCTGACTCAGGGGTAGGAGTAATCAGCCTGGAGGGGCCCCGCCAGATGAGAAGTCTGGAAGGGCATCCCCTGGGCTGAACTTCCTGAGCGAGCGGCTGCCCTAAGGGGACATCGGCCTTGGGAAGGTCAGCCTGGATCTGGTCCTCAGACGGATACACGGAGGCCTGGAGTTCCTGGACTCAGAGGCTCCAGGCTCACGGGAAGCTGGGAGACGGCCCCCCGGTGGGAGAAAGCCTCACATGGTGGGAAGGAGGCTGTGTTCTGTTCAGGTCACAAGTGAGCTCGTCCCCAGTTGCTGCAAGGCCTTGAGCCGCTCTCTGGGCCTCAGGTCTCACCTCAAGCCAATCACCGCCAGGCCTCTTGGCCATGTTGGCCAGTGCCAGGACGCCTGTGTGCCTGGAAAAAAGCAAGAGAGGCAGATTTTCCAGGAAGTTGATCACAGGCCAGTTTCTGGGCCCCTCACTGCTTGGGCCCTTGCAAGCCAATCCCTGCGTCTAATTCGGTACTTGTAACTTTATATTTCATCTCTTAAAGAGGGGCCCCAAGTTACTCACAGCCTAGCTTGGCCCTGATAGGGACAGCTGAACAGTTCCCAACACAGTTTACTTTATATGTTTGTGGCTGCAAGGGGGGTCTTCACGTTTTGGGGGGCACCAGATACCTTCTCATTGGAGGGCCAATCCTGGTTCCTCTTCTCTTAGAGACCAAAGCAAGGTCCTCACCCATGCAGACTGGAGAGGTGAAGAGTCTAAACAGCAGTGAGGAGGAGGAGAAACAGAGAGAGAGAAGGAAAGGGAGGAGGAGAAGGAGCAGGAGGAAGGAGATAGAGGACAGACCTGTTCTCTCACCTTGGAGTCGACCTTGGCCTGAGCTCAGTTGACCACCAGTGAAACCAGGTAGCTGGTGCTGGCCCAATCAAACCCAAGGAAAGGGTGCAATCAGACTGGGAAAGCAATGCCCTGAAGGTCACCAGGCCTGATAAGTGCTGATAAGGAGGTCTGGGGCTGGATGGAAGCCTGGGGCCTGCTGAGAAGCAGACATGGTCCCCTGGAGAGGCTGGAAGAGTGGTGTGCCCCCCGCTGACTGGAGAGTAGGCGGCCCCACCCTTTAGATTTTCCTGGAGCTGCACATCCAAAGGTCCAGGGAAGACAGACACAAGGAGGCTGGAGTGGGAGCACAAGGACAGTTGCTGTCCACGGCTGGACTTGGGCTGGCCTGATTCCCTCCCAGGATAGCCCCTAAAGCCACGGTGAGACTGGGCCTGGGAGGTGGAACCACAGTTCCCAAGCCCCCACCCTGCAGAAGGCAGGGGTCCTCAGGGAACGCACATGAGCCACACGTTGGGAGGCCTAGCTCTTCAACTCACCTCAGCATCTGACAAGCCTTGACCTCCCTGGGCCTCGGTTCCCCATTATAAAATGGATGTGGTTACCCCAACTTGTCTGCCTCTGGAGATTTGGGAACTTAAAAGAGTTACCTTGGGCAAATTGTCACCAACACTGCAACTAGGGGTATAGAGGAGTGGACCCTTGCCAAGCTTGGCCTGCACCCCCTTTCTCCTTCTTGGAGAAAGACCTGCAGTGGCCTGTCTGTCTTTAGCTCTTGGGTGCAGGACTGACTTGGAAGACAGTGCAGGACATGAAACATGGGACCATGGGGGTCAGAAGCTGGGACCAGGGAGGCAGGGCTTGGAGGATACAGGCCAGGGGGGTCGACGTTCACAAAACCAGAGCTTGTATGGAGCCTGGTGACCCAGCCCTGGGAGGAGCTGGGGGCAATGGGGAGAAGGCCCCACTGGTGTTCCAGCATTTCCCAGTTGACCAGCCTGCCTGACTCTTGGGTGAGGGGTGCCGGCGCCCTTGAGGGCAAGCCCATGCTGCTTCTGCCCCAGCTTGTCTGTGAAGATGGGACCGTGAGATAGGGGCCCTGGCCTGGGTCGCTGCCAGGTGCCTGTGTCTGGATTCGTGGTGGGTGGCCCAAGTAGCGTGGGGTATGGACTGAGTCACGTCTATCAGATGCTTCCTGTGTCCCTCAACCAGTTCCGTGTGCCCAGGCCCCTTTGCCTGTGGCTCCCAAGGTCCTCTGGGGGTCATGAATGACAGCCCAGCATGTCTCCCCCGACCTCCTTACAGATCTCAATGTGAAAGCAGCACGTGCATTGCTTCCCACGTTCCAATAGCAAATCTCATGGAAGAAAGCTGATTGGCTCAGACTGACTCACGTGATGGCACCTTGGGCCAATCACCAAAGACAAGGTGATGGAGTGCTGTGATTGGTCACTTGCTAGCGCGTTCCACCAGAGACAAGTGGGGCACTGTGATGGACAGTCTGGCCCGACCAATGGTGTAGGGGTTGGGTCAGAGACTGACCATTGGTAAGGGGAGGCAGCCATTCAGAAGCAGCCGCAGTCGGGGTGCTGCAGGGTGCATACAGTAGGCGCTCAGGGCATCTCAGCTGGAGCCACGAGGGTGCTGGGGCCTTAACCGCAAGGGCCTGCTGTGTCCTGGCAGGTGTGCATGGGGTGGGAATAGAGAGGCTGGGTGCTGGGTGTTGCCTGGAGGCCAGGATTCAGTCTCTGGATACCACTGCGTGCCTCCCCAGCACAGCTGATGCAGCTCTGTTCCCAGGACCTGGTCTTTCGTTAAGTATTTAGAATAAATCAATAAATAAATGAGCGGGAAGCGCCACCCACAGCGCCAGGAGACCCTGCCCATAGTGATTCTATTCGGGCACCAGTTGTGACTCTGAATAAATGGGGAGGGTGCAGAAGGAGCTTTGAGGGGTGTAGGCGCTGGGCTCTGTGGGCTTTAGGTGCCATGGGGACTGTAGGGTAGAGGTAGGCTCTAGGGTCGTGAATCTGAGCAGGCTGAGAGGGGTGATGGGACCTTCCTGGCTGAGTTTCCGAACATCCATGTTGCTGAGACCTGAAGTCTTACCTTGAACTTGTCTCTCAGAGACAGTTGCCAGGCAACAGCCCACAGTCACCAGGCTCTGGACCAGGACTCCATGCGTCAGCATCAGCATCAACGGAGAGGAGCTGGCTAGGGAGGTCAAGGCCCCACGCTTCAGGGGCTCCTCACCCACAAAGGAGCAGGGGGATGGATGGAGGCCACCGCTCCTCGGGGAGGTGACAGCTAGGGTTCCACAGGACGCCGGACAGAAGGCACCTAGAGACAGTGAGAAGCCCAGCCTGTGATGTGGGGGCACTCTCTGGAGTGGGGCAAGGCCAGGGTCTGACCTCAGGCTGCTTCCCTGTCACTGGCCAGCCCTGGACAGACTCCCTGAGAGTCCACTGGGAGACGGGGCTGGGAAATGCATTCCCCAAAGTTACTGGGCCCAAAGTGATGTTGCCACAAACCTACTGTGCAACCTTGGGCCACACACACCACCTCTCTGGGCGCAGCTGCTTTGCTGAAGGGAGACCTCCCTGAGCCCCGATGGGGTGCAAGGCCCTGACACTGGGTGGGGCCTGCCAGGAAGAACAACATGGCTCACAGCTGCCCCATCAGTGATCGCCTCACTAGCTGGTGGGGGGATGTGCATGCGCTCTGGGAGACCCTGTGGGGAGGGATCAGTAGCAGCGTGGGTGGGGGCAAACTAGTGAGGGTGCCAGACAGTGGGATTTGGGTATGCTAAGGCCTAGCGGCTGGAGGAAGGCAAGCATGCTGGTGTCAGACGGGGTTTCCTGTTGGGGGTTGAAATGTCCCCCATTCATAAGTAGAAGCCCCTAAACTCCAGTGCCTCCCAAGGGCCCTCATTTGGAAACGGTGGTTTGCAGACGTGAGCAGTGCCCAGAAGGTGCTGGTGCAGCACAGCGATGGCTGACTCAGGGTACTGGCCTTCTCCAGCAGGGACTCTGAGCACAGATACAGATACAGGGCAAATGCCTGGGTGACCCTCCACACCCAGAGGGCACTAGAGGTCGCTGGCAAATGCCAGGAAGTGTTGGAGCCTTCCCTCAGGCCCTGGGGGAGCAATCCCACATGCCTCAGTCTGGCGCTTGGGCTCCACTCTGTCTCCAAAGCTGTGTTGCTTAATCACTGCTCTGAAGTCCTTTGTTACTCAGCTTTAGTGACAATACAGTTCCCTAGACCCTGCCCTTCTGCCCCGGGGTCCACGGAGGGCCTTGGCTGACCTGTTCATCCTTTCATTTAACAAGCGTTTGCCGGGCAGTGACCACGGAAAACCAAAGACAGAGAAGCACAGGGCCCAGCTGGTGGGAGCAAAGGGAAGAGATGCAGGCAGCTTAATGCCCTGGCTCTGGACCCGCTGGGCTTTGAATCCTGGCTGGTCTCTTCACTCGCTGGTTGACCTTGGACCAGTTTGTTTACATCTCTGAGATGAGGATGAAAGTAGACACCTCTGTTGTTGGAAGAGCAGATGAATGAGCACTTCAGAGGGCTTAGCAGTGCCTGGTCCATCACAGGTGCTGCAAGTTAACTGTGAGATGGCCTTGAACAGAGGCAAGAACCCATCCCCTGACGGTCTCCCCAGTGGGCCAGGGTCACCGTCCAGTGGGGTGTAAGCAGGGAACTAGAGATCATATGGGGTGGGGGTGGGGGTGGGGTGGGGAAAATGTTCTAGGTTGTGAGAACAGTTCTGATACCCATTTTCTAGCTGAGGACAGTGAGGTGAGGTCAGGATGGACAGGTATTTTACCAGCCCCCAGTCCGGCATCTATAGATTTTAAGAACCATGAAAACGAAGGCCAGGGTCACAGGGACAGTGCTGTAAGCAGACAGCTCTGAGGCCACTGGGCAGTGACAGACAGCAAGATGCAGCAAGCATAAGGGCCAGCCCAGGCCCCAGGGTTCCCAGAGCCCCAGATCCCTGAATGCCGCCGGCCGTCTGC